TATTTAACGCATTCACAATAACTCTCAACTTTGTTCAATTGTAAAGTGTAAAAAAAATATTGTGTGAGATGCTAAATTGTTATCATATTCACAATAACTCATAATTGTTCAAACAGTTGGGTGATTACGGCGTCCAGCACGCCTGCATCCCTCTCGTCATTATCTGAGTCAGTGTTGTTACTGTTCCCTGGCAGTTCAGTGATGATTCCGGTCTTGGTGAAAGCTCGGACCACAGTTGATACTGATCCTTAGCCCAGGCGTCCAAGATCCGTCGGTAGAGAGTGGCGTAAGTCGCAGTTTAACTTTATAATATCCTTGAGTTTAAAGTGGGCGTTGTAAGCGTGTCTCTTGACAGGTGCATTTTGATATTCAAAGGGATGCTCCTGACTACGGTAGTCATAATGCTGCAAGTCATGTGGGTTTGTAGTTTACTAAAGTCGTACTAAGACACCTGAATAAATTCATATATAAGGCGCTGTGGATTATAAGGCATGCAGTCGTTTTTTCATGAAATTAGAGGCTTTTAAGTGTGCCCTATAGTGCGGAAAATACAGTACCCAAATGAGCTTTAAGCCATGTTAGATAGTTATTACCTCTGCAATTCACATGTGTTTGAGTATACCTTATTATTAGTCTGTCTACATTTACAAAGCTCAAAATGCTCTGTTCCATGTTGTGAACTCCAGAGCTGAAATTATCCAAATGATTCTAGTGAAGGTGTTTGGAGTTAAAAACACTGTTGTGTATTTTCTGTATTACCACATGACATCACAAGGTGGAAAAGAATGTTTTCTGTTTGAGAGAAGAACTAAATATGCAGGGTTTGTGTGTTAAATATGTGTAAATGAAACAAAACACAACTCCAGTTCTGTTTGTGATGAGGAAACAACATCCAATCAATCCAATCCACTTTATTTCTATAGCAAATTTTATAAACATGACAGTTTCCAAAGTGCTGCACAGACAAATTAATACAATAAAAGGCAGTAAATCATAATTAAAAACAATAAATAAAAAGTGTTAAAATGCATAAAGCTAAAAATGATAAAACAATGAATAAAATTAAATAAATAAAAGACACAGAGGACCACACAACTCACACGGTGTTAAAAGACAGAGAGTAAAAGTAGGTCTTAAGACGAGACTTAAAACTCTCCACTGTGGGGGTTGTTCGGATGTCGGGGGCAGAGCGTTGCAGAGCTTAGGTCCAACTACGGAGAAGGCCCTGTCTCCCCTGGTTTTAAGTCTCTTCTTAGGCACCACGAGCTGGAGCTGGGCAGAGCGCGCGTGGGAGTAAATCTGGATGAGGTCCGAAATATATTACGGGGTCAGTCCATTCAAAGCTTTAAAAACACACAATATAAAATCAATGTAAAATCAATTCCAAATCCAGTGCGAAGATGCAAGGATTGGTGTGATATGTTCTTGTTTTTGGTTCCTGTTAAAAGTCGTGCCGCAGAGTTCTGGACTAACTGCAGACGGTAAAGTGCGTTGCAGTAGACTAGATGTGATGAAAATAAAAGCGTGTATGACCTGTTCAAAAAGATTATAATAGGTCTGACTTTGGATAAATGCTGCAAATGATAAAAGCTTGATTCTAAGACACCATTTATTTGCTTATCAAATTTAAATTCACTGTCCAGTGTGACATCAAGGCTGGTGACTATGGGACGGACATGATTTTTTAAGGATCGCAAGTTGACGAGGGAGTTACCAGATCCAAAAAATATGACCTTTCCTTCATTCAGTTTTAAAAAATTTTGAGCCAAGCCTTCACGTCACTTAGACAGTCAATAAGGGCTGTTGCGGGCTGCTATGGTTTCCTTTATTTTGCCATATAAATTCATGCATCATCGGCATAAAAATGACATGACAAGCAGTGACTATTAAAGATTTCACCAAGCAGGAGGAGGTACAAGGCAAATAGCATTGGGCCAAGAACTGAACCTTGGGGAACTCCACTGTCCAGAGGAGCAGGGGATGAGGAGGACTCCCCCAGCTTTACAGTGAACATTATAACATAGATTAGAAAATAGCATAATAGTGGTTCTTTAATTATGCCATTTCTTTGTGCTGCTTTTGTGCTGCCTGCCTCCTACGCATGTCTATTGTCCTGTGTCATTGTTGACTTGTTTTATGTGTTTGTGTTTTGCAGAATAATGTTGTATGTTTCACCCAGCAATCTATTTTTATGCGGCTTCCTAACTTTTACAACTTTTTACTAACTCTACTGTATATAATGTAAATGTCTTTGTGCAGGGGACTACTGTTGGAAACTAGTTGTATAGATAATACTGGCTCATTTATTGAAGAGTTTATTAACGCGCATTGTCCCCATTCAAGTAGACTAAATAGGTAAAACAAATAGAAATCAGTGTGGTGTATTTAAGGATTTCTTTTAGCTTTTTTTTTTTTTGTTTTGTGAGCATTTAAGTAGACTTAGTAGAGCTATTGGGGCACAATACACTCAATTTGTATGCACCAATCCAGCTTTTTCAGTTTAGCTCAGTTCCAATTCCAACACTATGGATTTAAGTATCTGCTGCTATCCGATATCAACCAGTACCAGAAAACAGCATTTATTTCTTTTAAACAAAAATAAAATAAGACAATATTGATCCAAATGTGTTATGTAGCTGTTATTTATCTCTCGAGTAACTACAGAACAGATTTGTTTAAACAGAAATTCACACACTATGAGTTTTTCTGGGCCAAATACAAAATACAACCAGTACAATCTTGGCCCTCAGACTTCCAGGTGAATTGGCCCAAATTACATTACATCAATTGAAAAATATTTTTTTACTGCAAGTTTTTTTTGAAAATCTACCTTGATAATGCTAATATTTCATATTTAGTGTGTGGTTTTAAGGATCTTAGCATGAATAAAGACTGATGCCTCATTCTAACGTGTTAAACATGCACACATTTCAATTATTCCCTGTACTGAGCATCAGTCTACAGCCCTCAATCGGCCCTCTGCTTTGTCTGTGTTTAGATATGTGGCCCTTGATGAAAAAAGTTTGGACACCCCTGATCTACGATATCAGCTGATCAATATTCGAAAGCCAATATTCGATCCAACAAAGTTTTGTAGTATTGGTGCTGATATCCCATACCATACTATTATTGGATTTGTTTATCCCTCAACAATCCCAAATTGCACAATAGCACGTACAGAGCTCATGAGTAATGGACATGTTGTCAGTGTAGCTTAAATTGCAACTTGCATTTCTGCTTTCTATTTAAAACATCTTCTTTACTTAAACTGGGACACATTTTAAACAGAGGGAAATGGTATATATATATTGACACTTATATCAGTGTTTTTCATATTTTTATTTGCCCCAGATTGAAACCATTTTTAGCACTGACATTTAAGCTGCCACAGTCTGTGAGCCCTTATGTGAATCAGATGTGACCTTTTAAACAGACCAGTGAGTTCAAATGGAAATAGAAGAGTAATTCAGCAAATAAAAATGTGTTTGTGCGATAATGCAAGCAAATTATTTTATTTATATTCATTTTTGTAATTTACACCAACTTAACATCAGTTTGTGCAATGGATTTTTTTTTATCAATCTCAGCAAATACCTGTTACTGACAACAGAAGAAAGACAAATCCACTCTGCAGTACAATTAGAAATACACAGCTACATTTACTCAGTTACATTTGCTTGAGTAATTTTTTAAAGAAAGTATACTTTTCAGAGTCATTTTCTAGCAGCATATTTTTACTCCCACTTGAGAAATATTTTTTTTACTGAAGTAACAATATTCTTACTCAAGTAAAAGTTTTGGTTACTCTTCCGACTGTGGGGATCTTTCTGTTGACAATATGAAATGATTTGTGTTTTTTGCACAGTTCCTTCAGATATGATTGTTTTTGTTGGTTTTTTTTTTTTTTCTTTTTTTGTGTCTATCATTTGAAAATACCAGATTTTGTGCATTATTTAATGGTTCGTCCACTTTTTGTCCTTCAAATTACTTTAGGGGTGTAAAGATATCCAAGTCTCATGATACGATATCATCACAGTTTGAACCTCACGATACGATATTTATTGCGATATCCTGGGAAAGCTCATGATACGGTGGGGAGGCTCATGATTAGAGATGTAAACAATATCCAAATCTCTCAGTACAATACTTTCACGATATACATCTCACGGTACGATATTTGTTGTGATATTTTGTGGAGGCTAATATCTTACTTAAGTCTTACCTCGACAAGACTTAATCTAAAGAACTAAGACTTAAAAGTGCTTAAAACTGTTATTTCTTCTTGTAGTCTGCACTGAAACAGAGCAAAGAATCATGGCCTATATAGTTCTCTCTGTCTTTTTTAAGCCTGTCTCTGTCTTAATTTAAGCAAAGAAACTTGTAATTTGATATATTGTGATGGTCCACGATGTTATTTGACGAACTTTGACAATATGATATCACAATATTTTGGTTATTGTTACATTCCTACTTTAAATTGTAAATCCGATGTTATGTCCATGCAGTTACTCTTTAAGTTACTCCTACTTGAGTAGTAGTTGCATTTTTGCTCTTACATGCTTCATGTCCTGGACCACTACTTCTACTACAGAAATATTACTAGTATTTTAACGTAATGTTACGATACTCGAGTACGATTTTTGGCAACTACACCTTTGAGGACAAATATTGAAAGAGCCTGCCTTAGTTTTGGCATACATAAAAAGCAAAGTACATTAACAGAGTATAAAAGAATACATTTTCTACTATCTCCACATAAAACTTTATACTTTTTCTGTAGAATTAGATTTTCCTGTGTGTTCAGTCCACTCTGCCGAGCTGCCACTGCTCTCTTCAGTCCCAATCTTAAAGTTCTCATTGTTTTGCCAAATTCGGGGAGGGGCCGGGGGAGGTCCGGAGTACAGCTGGAGCTTCCCATGTTTCAGATTACACGAGTGGGAGGAGGAGGAGAGCAGGGGCTTCTGTGATCCCGAGTCATTTAACTGCCCGTGTGTGGAGGCTCCAGTTGTGTAAAATGAAGCTCTACTATGTGGTCTCCGCTCTCCTCACTCGCGCGCTCTTTGGAGGTAGGAAACTGTTTACTTGCAATATGGGATAAAGACAAAATGTTCTCGCAAGATCTTGAGCAGAACAGATTTGATGCTTGATGAGGACTTTGAATGTGAAGATGGACAAGCAAGAAGTCAAACCTTTTGCAGAAATGTGAATGAGGATTGAAAGAAATATCGCAATGAAATGGTCGCAATTAACAAATCGCAAAGATTCAGATTATTTAAATGTGTCACTTTTGTGGTGGAGGGTCCGTCAATTACTTTTCTTCATGGAGATGTTATTGCTTCATCTGGAATGTTTTACAGTATGGTATTAAATTTTTCTATCTTCAGACCAAACCAGACCAGGATATAGGTAACATCTGTGGAGTGGCGACCTCGCTTACAGTCAGAATGCCTCTTTTCTATGTATTTTTGCAGTAGTAGCGGCAATAAATCCACCTATAATTTAATAAATGTAACATACAACTATTTAATATCCTACTGTGGAACATTCAAAGCAGAGAAATGACATCTCCATAGAAACAAGCAGGTGACGGAAATCATGTCTAAAATCTGCTAATCCTGTAGTTTAGATCTCTACAAACATCTTCAGAAATGCATGGAATTCTTGGATTTGTTTTGTGGTTCAGATTTCAGTCTTTTCTCAAATGTTAATGCTCCAAGAAATGTTTAAAATGTGGACTCTGAACTAAATCACAAATCGCAGAATGGTCTGAAAAATTGCAATTATTTTCCAAAATTGTTCAGCGGTAACGTGAAAAATTCTGGTCAACTTTGATTCCAAAATGTTGCAAGTAATCTCAGAGACGATTCATTTCAGTTTTAGAGTATGTTTATGTCTCTCAGTATTAGTTTAATAAAAGGAGCAGGAGAGGTGCTGTTCTTAATTACACGCTGCACTGAGAGTCCAGAGCTGTGCCACACTAAATTACCTTGGTGTCATGGAAAGTGAGGATTATGAAATGAACAGCCAACTATAGGCAAAACAGATGTGGTGTTATGATGGCATGTAACACATGCAGTAGTGTTAGTGAAGTCTGTTTCTCTGTGCAATGTGTAGTGTCAGCTGCCAGAATCAACTTAAATAGAGCCAGAGGATGTGTAGCAGAGCTGTTTGTGATCAACAAAACACTTTATTATGCAAAAAAAAATAAATAAATAAATAATACTCTTGTGAACTTTGTTAGAATGATGTTACCTCATAAAAAAACAGACCTGGAGTTGTGTTTTGTTTCATTCACACATTTGAGTAATCCTGCATTATTAAATCGTCTATATCTCGTATGCTTCAAAATGCTCTGTTCAACCTTGTGATGTCAAAGTTAGTAAGTTAACAGCTTTTTTTTTTAACCTCATTTGGAATGATTTACTTTGCAGAACAGTAGAATAAACATAAGTTGATGCCTTTTTAAAAATACTGATGATTCTTGTAAAGATGCAGTTTAAAAATGTAAAGGAGTGCTTCCTGTATCACCATTCAGTGACATCACAAGAGTGTTTTTAGTTTGAGATTCTGAGCTTATGCAAGTTTGTGTTAGCCAGGCTGGCGCCACCTAGTGCCTCCGCTCAGTTTCATTTCTCTTCAGCGACTAGGTCAGAAATCAAAATACAATAGACGGTTCGCATAAACCCCGAAAGTGCGAGTTTGGGCACCAGCCAATCAGCGAGATTGAGGATTTAAAGTCGGAATAAAAAGAATGTTTGGTGAATTTTATCAAGGGGAAAGATGTTGCCCTTATTCCACGGAGATTTGGGAAAAGCTTCATATACCAGTTAGCCCCATTACCAGTGCATTACATACGTGACTACAAAACAGCAGCGATTGGTTAAATGATAAAAAGTACCCGCCTACCGTCGAGCGAACGCAATCTAACACTGCAAGGTCAGACAGTTTCTACGAAGTGAAATGAGCTGATGGATCAGGCTAGGTTTGTGTGTTAAACATGTGTGAATGAAACAAAACACAACGTCAGGTGTGTTTTGCATGAGGATGCAACAGTAAAAGTGGGGTACAGGGACCATTGTGGGTATGGGATCTTGGTCAGGTGGTGCTCAGAATAAATTCTGATTTAAAAAGAAGGTAAAATTGAATAGTGTTTTGATATAACATTTCTTTTCTTTGGAGTAGTATTTCTATAGACCGATTATCAATCATTAAAACAAGAAAAAGTTATTGTATTCATTGACAATAGAGTGGTAAACTGATCTATACCAAATCAAGAATCAACATGAGATGAGTTAGGCTGTACTTGAAACAAAAAGTGCTGGGAACCACTGATTTTAAAATACTGCTGCTATCATCAAGAAAGGCTTTGACTGTGTCTGTAATTTGAATAAAGAAAAGTATCAGAATAGCATTGTTTCTTTTAACCTGAGAGTGTTGAAAGTAACCACCTCTGGACTGTCAGTGGATACTGGCATCTCAAAACAAATAATGTTTTGATGAGGGCTCTTGGGGAGGTAAGTGGAGTCGCTCTTTTTGCGTTTAAAGAAAATAACTGTGAAGCAGATCAAGTGTTTGTGGGAGTCGACAAGTGCTGAGAGATATGGGCATTGAAAGAAATACAACACCATCTTAACACTTTCATTATGGTGTTGTGTTTCCCATTTTGTTCATGACTGGTGATGATTATAGTGGAATAAATAATTTGATATTAATAATTATGTGTCATAAAATTTTTGGAGGATAAATGTTAGACATAGCCTCTCATCAGTATTTTCAGAACAGTATAGTCACTTATGTGTACGTCAATACAATGAGCAACAAAAGTTAGACAAAGTTATTTTACACTAGAAGAGGCCACCATAATTAGAAACACTGAGGTATTTTATGAATTCTGTCAACAGCCCATGGCCGACTGTTTTTAGGGTAAAAGATAGTGATTATATTAAAATACATTAAAATTTACTTTGATCTGGTCTAAAAAGTACAACTAAAAGACTAAAATAATGTACTTTACAATACTTGTCAGAATAGATATTTTGGTATCGCTCCATTCATCACAAATAAAAGAGCTGTGGAGGCCTACAACTTTTTACTTCTGTACACACTTAGGCCTATTTAAATCCTATCATTATTACTGAATTGTTGATCCGTCTTAATAAATATATAAAATCAATACTTTTTATCCATGTTTGTGTTTCAGATATTTGTTTGGCCATCAATGTCACCATCGTCCCCGCTCCGTTTACGGTAGCCCAGGAGGGTCAGAACATCACTCTGTCCTGCATCGTTTCTCAGCGCCGCAGAAATGCTGCTCTACCTGTCGTCAAATGGACCTTCCTCCCCGCTGGTGCCGAGAGGGCGGAGGAGGAACTCCTTATTGCCCGAGTCAACATGAGGAAGGCCCGTTTCTATGGCAACTACACCAAAAGCTTCTCTTGGCCCAAGATGAAGCTGACGGTGGTGAAGCAGGGGAAGATTTTTGACCTGATGATCCTGAACGTAGCGGAAGGAGATCGGGGGCTGTACATGTGCAAAGTGCAGGAGTTTAAGAAGCACCAGGAGAGATGGAAGGCCTCGTCCAACTGCACTGCTGCCACCGAGCTCAGAGGTAAGTGCTGTTTGGTCAAGTTTAAAAATGAAAGCTGTGAAATCTTCATGGTGCCAAATGGGCCAAATGGGGGGGCAGACACTCTGTAGATAGAACGCTCTGCCACAAACAAAAATAAGCTTGATTCTAGCTACGACCAGTATACGGTCACTGAGTCCTCAGAGTGGCCATTGCCTTGATACCATAAGTTGAAAATGTATTTGGATACTAAGAAATAGACACGTGATACTAGACCTTTGCCATGGTAAAGATCACAATAACTAGCATGCTAACAGTGCACCAGCCTTACTTCCTGGTTCGCAGATCATAAAAAATGCTTTATAATTAGATGCAGACAGTACAAAGGTCACACAGGATATTACGAGCTGATCTTACAACATATCTGTACTGGCTATATTACCATTATTATCTGATCTTTGTAATAATGTAGTTTCCTCATCAAAAACATACCTGCAGTTGTGTTTTGTTTCATTCACACATGTTTAACACGCACACCCTGCGAATTTATTCTGACCTCATCTCTCAAACAGAAAACCATCTGTTCCACCTTGTGATGTGGTAATCCACTGTGTTTTTAAACTCCATGCACCTTCACTAGAATCATTTAGATCATTTCAGTCCTGAAATTGACCATCTGTACTGAACTCAAGATAAAAGGTATTTGTTAACTTGAAAACTACAACTACATGACATCACAAGTTGGAACAGAGCTTTTTGATTTTGGGGGATGCAGACAGATGCATTTTCCCACATTACGCAAACATGTGTGAATGAAACAAAACCCAACTTCAGGGATGTTTTTGAGCAACTAGGTACAGCTCCAGATGATTCTAAGCAAAGATATTGCAGTGAGTCTCATCTTGCATATTCTCCATCCTTCAGTGGATTGTTTGCATTATCTCTGTGGCCTCTACATGCAGATACTATTGATACTATGCTAATGAGGCTCACATTCTTTAGCTAATAGTTTTCAGTAGGTGAAAATGATACCGAGAACCAAGATACAATGCAATAAACTTAATCCAACGTCTCCTTGCCCATCTTGCGGCATGACCTCATTCCTTTTGATGGGGAAGGGTGGAGGCTTAACAGCCACTTGAGCAACCACAACAGAAGCAGTTGTGATGATAGTACGCAGTGGGCAGACATGGAGTAGATCCTTTCTAACAGTACAGCTTTGCATGTGTAAAACCTATTAATGTTACACTGAACAATAAAATAAACGTTATGTTATTTTTACAGCTCAGTAGATATAATTGGTCTGACAGCAACTGGATGATGTCACTTTTGGAACCAGCAAACTAGGTAACTTTGACCAAGCCAGACAGAAGAGTCTTTAAGTGAGATGAGTGTTTTACCAATCAGAGGGTAGCTCAAACCATGTAAGGGAGTGTACAGTTATTGTGTTCCTTGGCAAGACACCTGACCCACACTACCCACTTCAATAGGGCTGCATCATGCTGGAAAGAAATCTGATTCACATTTTTTTCCTGACAAGTATTGTGATTGCAGTTAGATTTGTGATATGTTGAAAAAGATTCTGTTAAGAGTCATAAATACCAGATATTTTATTCTTTGCAGAGAACATTCCATTCTAAATGTTAAATGGTTACATTTTTATATAGCGCTTTTCCACTTTCAAGGCCCTTAAAGCGCTTTATATCACAGAACCACTCACCCATTCACACTCACATTTATACACCAGTGTACACAGACAGCATTCTTCTGTGGGAGCTGGAATCACACCACCAACCTGTGGGCCAGTGGTTCTGACCGCTCAATTATGTTTTATGTTGAGAGCGGATTTGACCAGCCAAGCTTCGGATCAGTGGACACTCTACCAACTGAGCTACTGTTGCCAATAAATAGTTACAGCTTTTCTGATTTGATAATTGTGGTAACTTAATTTAAATTTCAATCCGTTTGCAACCCTACTCTTCAGTCATTTTCTGCTCGGTGCGACTTAAGGACACGTCTACCTGAAAAAATGAAAACCTAAAATTGAAGGAATAGGAACATTTATCTATTTCTGTGTCATATCCCTGTATAATCCTGGATTCCTCCTAATTTCAGCAGTAGACGTTGCGCACCACATTTTCCATTGGAGCGTTCCGTTCCCTCAGGCTGTGACTTTCAGGAGGTCCCGAGCCAAACGCAGGGCTTAGTCAGACAGGCAGTCACTACCCAGGGCTGTTGTCATTGGCACCGTCGAGGAGTTTCCCTCCCAAAAGTAGAACCGGGAAGCGGAGAGAAAGTGAGCCGAAACGAAGCAAGAGATAGTTCTGCTAGGGAAGGATGTTTACGTCCCAACTCGGTGACAGTGGAGTGGGGCAGCTGGCTCGCGTCTGGCCCTTAAACTGTTGTGGTCAAGGATGTGGAGATGTGGATGGCTATTTTCATCAAAGGAAGCTCTGGTAAATTATGGTGAAAGCAGAAAAAAAACATACTAAAACATACTTGAGTGAATGCAGTAATTACAATAAGAGGAAATGGCTGGAGGCTGACTGGAATATAACATACATGTGAACATAAAAGGACACAACTCTGTAAAACTACTCTATCAGATCTATCAGACTGTTTTATCAAATGGTTTACTTGAATAGCGCTGAGTAAATGATGTAATCAGGCAATCAAGACAAGCTGAAATGAACTTGGAATTTCCTTAATTAAGTTTCCAGTATAAACATTACACTTTGGGTCATTCAAGGCCTAAAGTTAAGTGCGATGCAAAAAGAACTTAAATTTGATGTGAGGTATTTTTAGGATATTAAAGAGACTGTGAAGATAGTATTGTTTTTGTATTTTGAGGTACCTCATTTGTCTGTTATTTTACAGCTATTTTGTTCTAGAGATTAACTGATACCAACTCTTTAGAATCCAGAGAAATTGATGACCAATAAGCTCTGATGATATTTTTGGGCTAATATTTTTGAGCCGATATATAGGGCCAATTTCCAAACAAATATGATACAGTATATGGTATGATTTGAAACAACAAACTTTTCCACAACCTTATTTCATTGCAAACCCAAAAGATTTATTCAGTAGGGTTGGGTGGTGTCCAAATTTTGATAAACCTTCTCAGGATTTTACTGCCATATACGGTATTACCAAAATGTTTTAGTACAACTTTGGTAAGCTATGACGCCGCATCACTATATGGACTATGTGTATGACCTGCAGACTTATAATCTCTGAAAAGTTTCACATGAACCATCTCCAACGCGATCCGCGCACAGAACAGACTCAACATCATCAGAACATTCTTTGTCACAGAAAGAACACTCATATTCCACTGAGTCGTGTCCTATAGTCTGACAGAAGCTGAACCGCATTACCACACAAAGAAAGAACTCTTTTTATCAGCGCTTTACAGTTTATGCAAATGAGCCATGTGGTTTTAAATTTCATTTCTGTAAAATGTAAACAAATGTGCGCCTGAAGCCAAAATGCTGCCAAATTGCAGAAGAACTAGTATTTTTGGGGGGGACCAACTCGCTTGAAGCTGGACTTGCCATCTTGTCTTGGTCTCCCTTATGAGCATCATGTGACAACGGAACAAAACTAATCGAACGTCATCTCCCCACGCAGTTAAAAGAAACATTGTAGACAGTATTAGTTTAAATCGTGATAGCATTAAATTGAAAATACAAGCGCACATTCATTTGTGTTAGGAAAACAAATTCATGTATCAGGAAATTATAATATTATATTAGGTCCTTATGCGCTGCAGATTTTTTAAATGACGATAACTGACACCGTTGCTACTTTTTTGATAGCACGTGATACCGTAATACTGTATTACCGCCCAACTCTAGTAGTCAGTTTGAGCAGTGTGTTCAAATGAAGCTTAAGATCTCTCCTTCAACCAAAACAACATATCAGCGTATAACACAACTGACTCCAGGCACTCCAAAGAAGTAAAAATTGCATGAGGAAAAAATATAGTTAAAAGGCCTTTATTTAAATGGCCAAACCCAACATGTTTCAACCAAATTTTTACATTTTTACTTCTTTGGAGTGCCTGGAGTTCGTTGTGTTTTAGTTTTGATCCTTTTTCCAAGAGCATCCTTTACCTGCTCCCACTGATTGGAACACCTGCACCAAACAGCCACATTTTTGTTTTTTCTGAACATATCAACCTATGTTGGAGGTTCAAGGCCAATATCTGATGCGCTGTAGTGCAAACATCAGCTCAATATATCAGACAATCAATATATCGATCTATCTCTATTTTCTTAATGATCTACAATAAACAATACATAATATGGTTGCACAATACCTCATAATGAAAGCGAAATTGCAATTTAATTTGGTGCAATTAAATACAAGAATGTCCTCAGCAAAGAACAAAATATCCTGGCTTTATAAAAATCATGTTGTACCCATAGTTTAGACCTCCTCAAACCGAAACTCATTCAGTTTATCAGTTCAAATTTCTATTAACTAAACTGAACAGAATTCTAGCTTTTTAACATTCATCAGAGATTTATCTTTTTCCCCCCAAATTGTGCAGCCCTTAGATGTAAACAACCAGTTAAAAGTCTCTTGGACAAACATCTCCAGTCAGTTGGGCAATAACGACCATCCTCCCACCCCAGCAGGTCTTATTAGCGCTCGGGCTGGTATTTCCTCTAGTGTTCCCCACCTACAGTTGACAGCCACGATAAACATCAGCTTTACATCTAAGAGGAAAAACCCCACTGGGACCTGCTCTCGCTGCACAGTCCAGGCTGGCTTTGCTCTGGCGTGCCCACATATGTCCAAGTGTTTGTCTCTGTTTGTGACGTACGGAGCAGTGGAATGCCGGAGGTTGGATGACTCTAGGTGGCCAGGTGTTTCCACAATTCAGCCCTCACACAAAAGTGCCATTAATACAGCGGCTGCTCTAATAAACATGTGTGCAGGGGTCAGAGGGTCCGGCTGCTATAGGGAAGATGCACATGTGATGAGTGGGCGAACGTGACCTGGTTGTTTAAGTAACAACGGGGAAGCAACCA